CTATGATCCAATGGATGTTGGCAATTTCATCTCTGGTTCCTCTGACTTTTCTAAATCCAGCTTGAACATCTGGGATTTCTCAGTTCACATACTGTTGAAGCCTAGCTTGGAGAATTCTGAGAATTATTTTGCTTGCCTGTGAAATGAGTGCAATTTTGTGATAGTTTGAACATTCTTTGGCATTGCCCTTCTTTGGGATTGGAATGAAAACTGACCTTTTCCAGTCCTGTGGCCACTGCTGAGTTTTCCAAATTTGCAGGCATACTGAGTGCAGCACTTTCACAGCCTCATCTTTCAGGATTTGAAATAGCTCAGCTAGAATTATTTAACACTCAGGAATTCCCTGACGGTCCAGTGATTAGGACTCAGCCCTTCCAATGCTGTGGCCCAGGTTCAGTCCCTGATTGGGGAACTAAGATTCCCCCAAGGTTGGTGTAGCACAGTCAAAAAAAAATATTTTAAAAACCCAACAAAAGCATTTAACACTCAAGAGTCACCCTATGGATACTAGTACCATATGACCTCATTTTCAGGATGAAGAAACAGATTTAACAAAGTTAAAAATAATTTGCAAAATTATAGTTGTAAGGAAGAGAGGCCCACAGTGAACCCAACTCTAACTGCAAGGGCCACAGAGCACTTGATACAGCAAACATCAATAATAATCCTTTAAATAAGCAATTTTGTTTACACTGAAACTTCCCGTGATTACCAAAGATCAGTACATTGTTCTTAGTCTCTTCACCAACCTACCTTCATGGAGCTCAGGATGAGTACCCTTGCAGGGGGCCCACTACTAGACCGTTAACTGCCCCTGGGTAGAATACAAGGATGGCCAAAGATTAAGTGAAAAACAGACACCTGTAAAAATCATAACAGGGTGAGTCTCTGAGAAGAGAATAGCAAGGGATTAGAAAAACACACTTGTGGTAACACACTTAAAGGTAACAAACAAGTCACACATCAGTAACATTTAAATATCCTTTCCTGACTCATGAATTTTTAGGCCACTTACTCTATCGGGACAGAATGCAATCCAGTTGTTCTGATGTTTCTCCAATTTGTCCTCCCTTTTCTCTCAAGTCCACAGAAATACCTAAGTCTTCAACACTGTTTTTCAACATACAGCACAATCATCTCCAGTAACAAAGGAAGCTGGAGAAGGCAATGGCAACCCACTCCAGTACTCTTGCCTGAGAAATCCCATGGACGGAGGAGCCTGGTAGGCTGCAGTCCTTGGGGTCGCAAAGAGTTGAGGACACGACTGAGCGACTTAACTTTCACTTTTCACTTTCATGCATTGGAGAAGGAAATGGCAACCCACTCCAGTGTTCTTGCCTGGAGAATCCCGGGGAAGGTAGCCTGGTGGGCTGCTGTCTATGGGGTCGCACAGAGTCGGACACGACTGACGTGACTTAGCAGCAGCAACAAAGGAAGCAGAACCGTATGATCTGGCTTATTGCTTTCCCTTGGACTTCATTTCCTTCTCAGGCTTCCATTAGAGTAAAACTAGTCACAACAGCACCCCAGCACTCAATGAAGTCAGTGTAACTCCTCTTATTTTCTGTTCAATGCACCTTTTTCCAATAAGTGAATATTTACCGAGAGCAGGCTTGCTACTGAGAACAGACATGTAGATTACGACTGTTAAGGGACCTGTGATTGGGAAGTATTCAATTTCTTATAAATTGTCTTCAGGTTGTTTCTCCCCTATCTACTACACATCAACTTCCCAGAAAGCAGATTATAGGAAGAGAGGCTTTGGACTTCTACCCACAGACTGGTTATCCCCAAACAAACATTTTCACCACCTTCCTATTTACCCCGGGGTTATCAGAGTGAAAATGTTTTGAGAATTATTAAAATACTTCTAGTACCAGCCAAATAAATTTGTGTTCCTTAATATTTGATGTACCACAAATAAACAAAGGCATAAAATGCTTTTTAAAACTTTATTTCAACATTACTATGCTTACAGAAATACACTCATATATGGGTTAATAGAATGCAATTTAACTTATCCTACACAATTGGGACCAAAAACCTGGTACATGGTTTGCTTCAAAAAACAAAAACAATAAAAAGGATTTGCAATCTGGTTTTTCATCTATTAAAAATGTATATAAAAGATTCTCCATCAAATGCTGTTAAAGCAAACAGCAGGAACCTTGAGAAATAAACCTTTGGTTTGTCTCTGAAAAACACCATGTATTGCACTGTAAAAGTTTATACACTGGTACAACAAAATATTGTTGTAATGTTTCAATGCCAGTTCACAAAGTTCAATAACTAATGATGTTGACAAGGGTAGGGAGAGCCTATGTATACATGTGAAAGTATAAAAAAGCTATCTGATCTAGTTAATATTACATGCAGATCCCAAATCTATTCAAACCAAGATTCAGATAATTTCTTAAATCTGAATTAACACTATCAGTCCAGTTCATCAGCTGAAGTCAAAAAGGAAACTCTGCACAGTAGCTGTTTTTCTGATTTGTGCAAAAAAGAAAATGAAGTTTCTTCCCCAGCTTTTTAGTCCAGAACTACAGCAAAGTATTTCTTCCATTTCAACATTCTTGGGGTGAGAGGCAATGAGGTTACTCAGGCTTAAATCTGAATTAGCACTCAGATGCAAGAGTCCCCAAAGTTAAAGACCACATGACTTTAGAAGTGACTCTAAAAAATAAAATGGCCTTTCTTGGAAGACTAGAGCAAAACATCTGGCAATAGCTAAAAGAAGCCTAATTAAAAAAAAAAAAGAGTAGCTCTTTATGAATTACACATCAATTAAAAAAAAAAAGCCTCAATGAAGCAGCTCTGAAAAGAGGAAAAAAACATAACTTAAAATTTCCTGAAAAGCAACGTGAACATAGGTTCAGAAGACAGTTAAGAGATATATTTTACAAAGCTACCTAAGATTAGGCTTATGAAGGTATTCTAAGTATTTCAACCTTTAATACTAAACATCAGTTTACAAACATTTTTACTTTTTATTCCTTTATGAAAAGGGAAAAGTCTAGCTTCAATCCTATCCAGTGGAAGGGAAACCAAGAAAAAAAAAGATTCAACTAGTCCCATGCAAACAGCACATTTTTCAAATGGAAGAACTAGACCAGAAGTTCATATTACTAATATATTTTTCAATGAAACAAACTGTTTTAATCAAATGATTTTTAATAAGAACAAATACATGGCACTAAGGTTCAGAACCTAATATAGGCCTGACAGACAAGTCCTTGTTTTCTGGAGGAAAGGCCTCAAGTCCATTCAATTTCCAGTAACAATGTTTTCACAGATCACTTTAATGAGGGGTTTTAATTTCTTTCATATTTTTCATTTTGGCATTCTAATATTAAAATCTAGATAAGAAAATAAGTCCAATTCCCCAGAAGTCATTTTTTTTTTCTTTTGAGGTATCAAAGAATCCAAACTGATTCCCAATCTCCAATTTGTACTTAATATGAATATTTTTGGATGTACTGGAAAAGATAACGTTTTAATATAAAATGTACTCATGAACATTAAATCTGTTGTTAGAAAGGTTTAACTAGCTTTATAATTTAAGTTTTAAAACATAAATATCTGCAGCTTGATCTGTTTGACAATGATTGTCGGAGCCGAGAATTCACCTAGAATTCAACATCATTTACAAATCCCTATTATGTACAGAAAACACACACCAGTAATACACAACTTACTCACGTCTTGAGAAAATTTTCTGCTTCTTTAAATCTTTGGCCTCCCAGTCAATTCCAAGTTCAAATGTCCTTTACCTTAAACGTCCACTCTCAGAATAACTAGTTTTCCACACACAGTTTAATACTTCTTCCTAATTTTTCATGTTGCATTGCCAAACCCTGAAACTTGCCTCAGAGATCAATCAGACAGAAGAAAACAAACAATATATAAAGTGATTACTTCAGAATAAAACCTGGGAGGATAAGAATCAAGGTTCCTTACTGGAATCATACTTTATTTTACAAGGAAAAACAAAAACCTATGTTAGATTCTTTCATATTCTTTGGTGACTGGCCAAAGAACCTACCAAGTTTGGAGCGCATACTCTTTTCCATACAAAGTGGTCCCGCAGGAACACCAAAATAGTTATTCATTTGAGGCCTCACCTGTAGCAAAAGGCTGTCCCGATAACAGCCAGGACACCCACTAGTTAGGGGAGATCCCTGAGAAAGTGTGGTTTTTTAATATGGACTGAACTTCAGTTTTTGCCAGCCCTTTTCACTATAGTCAGAGGAAGGAGCAGCTGGTCTACCAGCACTCATACTACCTTTCTCATCCTAGGTTTTCTGTGTAATTGCTATGGCTTTGGAATCTCACAAACTGACACTCTGTGTAACTCGAAGGAGTAATTATGCCTCCTAGTTCCAGATTTGCAGTTTCCAAATAAAAATTATAGTTCTTTATTCAGCGGAGCAGACATATAAATAAACACCAACCATCTAGGAAAAGAGGTTTCCTTTAAGATACAACTTAACACCACACATTGAGGAAGCAGATGTACTAAGATGGGTCAAAGTTTACTCATGGTTGGTATTTGATATAAAAATCCATTCAACATAGATCTAGTGGTTTATTTACTGCAAAGTTCAAACTGAAAGCTGTAAAATAAATAACTTATATGAAATACAGATTCTGGCATAGATGTTAAAATCAATGGACTAAACCTGCATCTTTCATTTGCTCACAAATTTGCACACACTACTATTCTGCAAAAAAGACAACTGCGGCAAAGAAAAGAAAACTGCCCCTTTTGCAAACAAGACTAAAAAGCATCCCTCCAGAGAGATCAAAATAAACATGCATATATATAAAGTATTACAACGCAAATGCTATTTCTAGAAAAAATTTAACTGCATAGGTTAAAAAAAAAACAATGTGCAACATCTTAAGGCATTAAAGCACCAAAAAAAAAACCCAAAAAACAAAAAACCCACCAAAATCATTGTTTTTATGACAATACATACACAAATAAACATACATACTGATCAAAAATCAGGAAGGTAAATACCTGGATTGATAGAACATCCATTGTTGGGAGAATTTCTCTTCAAATTCAATGTCTCTCTTCTTATCGCTAGAACAATTTAAAGTGCTAACTTGATATAAAGCAGGCAAATTCTTCAAGTAATTTGCTATTTAAGTAAGCCAATTTTTATAGGGCTATAAACAAAGAATAAACTAAAGTGAAATAGGAAGACAGACATGAGGAAAAAACTGGTAAGTTATAGCTGAACAAGTTGATAGAATGCTCTAATACCACCTTGGCCTCCTTAGTTCAATTAAATGCAAAAACAAATTAAAAAAAAAAAAGCTTAGAGATTTAGATGTCTGCTACAGTAACTCCCTTGGATTTACTAAAATGTGTACATAAGTTGGTACACGGAGTCCAAGAAAAAGAGTGCCACTTAAAAATCAAGACTGAACAGTAATTAATTTTAAAAACAAAAGGCTGTCTACTACTGCAAATGAATATAAAATGTCAGAGACCTTATCCACTAAGAACTGAAGCCTTGACCAGTGTCATCACTCCTGCCCTTGAGCTGCCTTTTCAAGGAAGTACACGTTAACCAGATGGCGATTGAGATGTTTGCTGTAATCTTTTTCCTTTCGAAAAGAACGATCACAGAAGATACAAACGAAATCTCCCTCGGCCACTCTGACAGCCAAGGCCTCCTTTCCATCTTTCCCACTGGTGTCCTGTGGGACTGGCCGAGCCCCGTTCAACCCAGAATCGTCACTATCCTCTGACGTGTTGTCACTCAGGTCGCTCCCATCGTGACTGTGGATGCCTTCGTCTTCATCCATTTCCTGAGACTCGTGTGCTGCCACGGTGCCAGGCAGGGATGCCACAGCCGCTGTGGACACGGCTTCATGTCTTTCTAGCGGCAGAGCAGGAAGTGGTGGTGAAGCTGGTTCTTCAACGGCCGAGTCTCTGCTGGGGAAATTCTCTGCTTTCTTCTCGTCAGCGTCCACCTCCATTTCACAGAGCATAGCTTCGGCCTGACGTTTATCCTCCGAAGTTTCACCCTCTGGCACATTCAAGTTTTGTTCAGAGGATGAAGTGTTGGCAGATGCCTTGATAACAGCAGCAAGACCAGCTAGACTCTTATCTGCCTCTTCTGCTCCCGCTTTTTGAAGAGGGGCTTCTTTAGTTACTTCGCCTGCAGGGAACAAATTTTGGTCTTTCGATTCCTCCCCATTTAAGTGTTCCTTTGGCAGGGGTGGTGATGGTGGGGAGAGACCCTGGGCACAGGCACTTTCTTTCAGACGCTGCGTGTCTTTAACAGGCACTAAGCCGACCTCAATAAGGACCTGCTCCTTCCGCGCCCTTTCACTCAGCATGCTGGACTTCTCCTTTCTATGATCTTTGCGAGGAGACCTTCTGGGGATCGGCTCCATGGGAGGAGGAGGCTCTGTCTGAACAGACCCCGTCTGAACCACCTCCATCTCAGCATCCCCCACAGGGGGAGGGGGAGGGGGAGGAGGAGGAGGAGGCTCTGTCTGAACAGACCCCACCTGAGCAGGCTCTGGGGGAGGAGGGGGAAAGGGAGGAGGGGGAAGGGGAGGAGGAGGCTCCATCTGAACAGGGGTCACCTGAACAGGCTCCAGGGGAGGAGGCGGCTCCATCTGAACAGGGGTCACCTGAACAGCCTCCAAGGGAGGAGGCAGCTCCATCTGAACAGGGGTCACCTGAACAGCCTCCAGGGGAGGAGGAGGCTCCATCTGAACAGGGGTCACCTGAACAGGCCCCAGGGGAGGAGATGGCTCCATCTGAACAGGCCCCTTCTGCACAACCTCGACCTCAACACCCCCCACAGGAGGGGGAGGGGGAGGGGAAGGGGGAGGAGGAGGGGGCGGCTCCGTCTGAACACACCCCACCTGAGCAGACTCCATCTGAGCGGGCCTCCTCTGAGCAGGCTGGCTGCTTTTCTTACATGGTTTACTTCTCACGGTTTTCCTCTTGTTTTTCAAGCAAATGTTTTGCTTTTTATTCTCCTCTACTTTGCTGTCACCCTTTGGCACTTCCTGACTATTTTTGGATTTGCTTTCTGCCTTCTTTTTCTTTTTAGTCACAGGTTCCTCATCATTAACAGGCTCTTGTAAGGACTGGGCTTCAGCTTCCACCTTCCTTTTGCTTTTTTTGCTTTTGCAGCTCTTTTCTGAATTGTTTCCTGAGGACACATCCACTTCTTTAGCTTCCATGGCCGATTTGCGAGTTCTGGTGGTCACCTGGCTTGAGGCATTACTACAAGGCCGCTTCTCTCTTGAAACGTTCTCTTTCTTCTCCACTTTTACAGACCTCTCGTTTTTCTTCCCAGTCACATCCCCCTTTACTTTTGCCTGCTCTGTTTCTGGTTTCTCACTGGTGATTTTGTTATCAGGCAAGTCAGCCTCTCGCTTCTTGGTTTTCTTTAGTTTCACCTTTGAGACATCCATGGTTTTATTAGGACAAGTAGGATGCTTAGATTTGAAATGATACTGCAGATTACACTTCTTGGAAGCTGCATAGTCACACACAGGGCAGTTGAACTGCCGTGGATTCACATGCAGCTCCACGTGTTTTTTGAAGTTACTTCTGTCTGCTGTTTTGTAGTCACAGTGGGGGCAGTTTAGAGGTTTGGGCCCGTTGTGAACCTGTCTTGCGTGGCGGGTTACTTCATGCTGATTAGAGGCCACATAACTGCACTGGTCACACTTAAATGGCTTCTCACCTGAAGGCAGACAAGAGATGTTACAGAAGGCGCACGTTAAGAAATGAATTCAAGATTTATTCAAATATGCTCATCAAGAAGTGGAGATAGATACAGATATATATATATATAAATAAAACAAAACCACCGAAACTATTTCATGAAGACTTTATCATGCAACTTATATTTACCATATTTATTTGTATATCTTTCGTATTTATTTGTATATCTCTCCTCTATCCCTTGACTTCTGATTCTCATTCTAAACAAAGGAATAATTATTTTAATCATCTTCTAAAAAGTTCATCAAGTTAGTGCTCTCAAACACTCTTAAAGAACACAGATTCATCAAGAAATATACAATTACTGAAAAAGTGACTTAGGCTCTTGATGCTAATTCTTGGGCAAAGGCACTCAAAAAGGTAACATAATTATAACGTTTTTATGTAGTTAAAAAACAAATGTATAAAGGAGCAGAACATAAAATTCCCGTACATTTAAGATAAACCTTGAGACTTCAAATAAAATACTTCATACTCCAGGCCATACTCCCAAACCTTTATGTGAAAGCTTTAAAACAATGCTTTGACCCTTTGTCCATCGTAGCAGAGTTGAATCAGATTTCACTCAGCAAATTTTTCCACTGCCAGAGCTGCTATTCTGCAGCAAAGTATAACAAGTCAAAAATCCTTTCTAGATTTTCTCCCACTTTCTTCTAATGAATGAGCAAAGAAACCAGGGGCATACAAATAGATATGGCATATAAAATAAGCACAAGTTATAATCACAGGCACATACAAGACCAGAAGCCCTCCCACCCCCAAATTAAAGGCATGAGATTTAACTCATTCTACCTGAATACATACCCATCTAGATCACACTCTAGCAAATATTACCACTGGTATCCAATACCCCACTGGTCCAATGGAATGCATAGCAGAAAAATGGAAATTGACATTTATGAAAATTCATCTCTCAAAATTCTCAAATTCACATAAAATCTTATTAAATTTTTTCATAAAGCAAAACTACTCAGACATTAAGTAAAACCATAGATAGTAAGCTTTACATGATTAGAAGATATCTGATTACAGAATAGTTGACCACAAAAACAAAAACTTATCCAAGTGTGTCAAACTATAAGCTCTTTTCCATATTAGTCCACTAACAGATTCATGAAGAGAGGTTTCTAACAACATGCTAAATTACTCTCCACTTGGTCCTATCTTGTCCTTCCCACTGAATGACTTCAATGGAGACAAACATCTACTTAATATACATAGAAACAGAATGGGGGAAACAAGATATGTGACATAACGGTTAAGAACTTGTTCCACAGTAAGAATACCTACAGGGATCAAGTATGGGCTCTGCAACTTACTCTGAGGTCTTGAGCAAGATACTGAAAACTCTCTAAGGCTCAGTTTCCTCATCTGTAAACTATTCTCATGTGCTGTAAGCTGCAGTGTAGAACAGATGGCCAGTCAATACATATTACCTGTAATTTATGACTTCTGGAATGAACTGGTATACTATAGAATGGGTAAACACAAAGGAAGATTTCAGGTGCTTATCCTGCCTTACTATATAAACCTTACCTTTGAGTAAACAAAGAGCTGATGAATGGAGTCAATCTCGTTAGGGAAATATTTGTGCTCTTAAAAGAATTATAAAGAAAATGTCACCACTTTATAAGCCCTAATGAATGAGAGCATTTTCATAGCCAGCATCAAGCAAGATGCAAGCATTCACCTATGAAATGATCAAGGAATGGAGTTCCTAGTACTCTGGTTTAAAACTCCAATGGTGTCATTTACTTGCTTCATTCACCCCACCCTATTTTTGCTTTATTGCCATTAAATGTTACACTGGAAGACCAATTCATCAAGTTGATTAGTTTATTAATACCTAGCTGAATGAAGATTCTTTTGCCCTGTACCAACAGTTTCAACTTAATTTCCTTTTCCAGTTCTAGTAAAAATTTTTACCTGTTTTTCATCTTTGTAAATGTGCCAGGTGTCTGTTTTATTCTTCCTAAATTAATTTATAAATGTAAGGCAAATTCAAAAAGGGAGTTTTATAAGCTTATACACATTCTTATTAAGTAGAGCCCACATAGAATAACAAAGGAACTTTTAATTCAAGAGTAATAGGGGTGTACTACTCAGCAATAAAGACAACATTCTGATAACGCAGCACGGAATTACTCTCGAAAACATTTTACAGAAGGATGTTAAATCTTTAATAGAAATCAGAGTATCACTTGACGGAAGAATATGGGAGTACTGACTAGGAAGAGTAAGGAGGGAACTTTTCTAAGGGTAGTAGAAATATTTCATATCTACACCAAAATGGCAGTCAAACAAGAGAAAGCATACATAAAATCACTGACCTATATGCCTAATACATGTGCATTTTCGTGTGGGTAAATTAAACCTTAATAAAATATGTTTAAAAAGTTATTCTAGGGCTTCCCTGATGGTCCAGGGGTTAAGAATCTGTCTTGCAACACACAAGGGACACCAATCTGATCCCCAGTCTGGCAGGATCCCACATGCCACAGAGCTACTCAGCTCATGCGCCGCAACAAAAAGTAGCCCCTGCTCGCTGCAACTAGAGAAAGCACAAGTGCAGCAACAAAGACCCACCACAGCCAAAAAACATAAATAAATAAAATGAATCAATAAATCTTTAAAAAAATTATTCTAAAATCCACAAAAAGACTCTCAAACCACAGTATGTTTCCAATGACCCACCTATTAAACATGATGCCTTCAGGGAATCCACTGGTGGCCCAGTGGTTAGGACTACATGCTTCCACTGCAGTGGGCACAGGTTTGATCCCTGGCTGGAGAACTAAGCTCCTGAAAGCCACTTGGCCAAGAGAAAAAAAAAAAAAAAAACAGTGCCTCCATAATAATCACCAAGTACTCGATGGAGGGAAAATAGTTTTTGCTGAAAAAATTACTTTTCCATCTTAAAAATAAGTAGTCCATAACAGAATTCAGTAAGATGTTAATTCCCTTTAACAAACATTCACTGTGCTCATAATTGGAAAATATTCAAAATTAATTCCTATGCTAGCAGGATGGAAGAACTATCCAGTATGATACCTACAAAAATATTACAAAGGGACAGACAAATTGGACGCATTCCCTCCAGTTCTAAATATTTCATTCAAGATGAAATGGTAACATAACTACTGAGAATTAGAAGAGGAAGAGTTATGGATCATATCAGGACCTCCCAAGGGTCAGTGTGGCAAAACTGAAATAACTATCCATTCAAGACCACCTACACAAATACTGACTTTTTAACTTTGCAATCTTCATACATTCATAATAGGGGCCAATTCTGGATGGTGATCATGATCATTTCAGTTCTAGAGTGGACAATTCTCCCAGGTGTTATAGTCCTATATTTTATTTATTATAAGTGAATAAATTAGGAACATGGATTATCAATCACTCTTTAAAGTTTGGCTTTTGTAAATCAACCTTCAGAAGCCTTAACAATTCTCAAGAGAACAAAACCAAATGTCAGGAACTAAGCAACTAACAAGGAATCCCTGGAACCCAGCAACCACACACTGAAATTATATTTAAAAAATATATAAATATCCAAATTACATCAAAAATAAATCATAAGTAATGACCCAGTTCCAGGTACAGAACAACTTCTTTATAATGGTAGTTTACTAAAAATGATAGAAAAGTTCCCATTTCTTACCAACCTGAATGAGTACGCATATGCCTGGTTAAATGGGTCTTCTGAGAACTTGAGTAAGGACAAAGTTCACATTTATATGGACGTTCACCTACAAAAATACAGTGATTAATATTCAAATGATAAAATAAGGCAATTACAATTCTCACTAACAATACATACATTATTTAATACTGAGTTTTGGGGGGTTTTTTTGGCTGCTCACTCAGCATGTGAGACCTTAGTTCCCAGACCAAGGATCAAACTCATGCCCACCAGGGAAGTCCCAGTTATACTCATAAAGCCACGGGGACTGACAGCAACTAGAGATAAGAGAACTAAAGAATCTTAAGTCTCAAAGGCAGAAATTGTGTTTTTTGGACATGGGTTGTCAACCACAAAATATACTAAAAAAACACCTTGACATTTGTCTATTTTTTGGCCACAAGATAAGAATCAGGACCTCAGGCAAGCTTCCTCATCTATAAAAGTAACAGTACTTCAACTTTCTAGAATTGTGAGAATTTAAATTAAGATAATACATGGATAGCCTTCAGCCCTGTGCCTGACAAATAGAGCCCTCAATAAATACGTTATTATTCTGTCTACATCATGCATTACAGCAACAGACGTATCTAATAACAAGGGACAAGGAGGGATTTTCCTGGCAGTCAACTGGTTAAGACTCCATACTTCCACTGCAGGGCACACAGGTTCAATCCCTGGTAGGGGAACTAAAGATCCCACATGTCATGTGGCTTGGCCAAAAACAAAACACAAACAAAAAACCCATCGAACAAGGAAAGGAAAAGACAAAGTGAAAAAAAGAAAGAAAGAATGTGGTGATAACTGTGAAATGTGTTCCTAGTAGCTATCCAGCTATTATTAGCTGGTACCTATAGATTAGACATAAATAGTTCATAGCAACAGGATGCCTACTTTAGCCTTGAAGAATTCTGTTAACTTAAAAAAATGTTGAAATGTATCTCTGTAAAAAGATACATAACTGCCAACAAGCACATGAAAAGACGCACAATATCATTAGCCACAACAGAAATGTAAATCAAAACCACAGTGAGATGATTTCACACCCACCAGGATGGCTATAATCAAAATAACAGATATTAACATTTATTTGTTAGGTTGTGGACAATTTAGAACCCTAATACAGTGCTGGTGGGACTGTAAAATAGTGCAGCCACTTTGGAAAACACCTTGTCAGTCCCTCAAATGATTAAACATAATTACCATATGGCTAAGCAATTCCACTCCTAGGTGTATATTTACCTAAGAAAAATAAAAACATATGTCTACACAAAACCTTGCATGAGAATGGCAATAGCAGCATTACTCACAATAGCCAAAAAGTGGAAATAATCCAAAAATCCTTTAACTAATAGAAAAGCAAAATGTTGCTTACCCATTTGAGAGTAGTATTTGGCAACAAAAGGAAAACGAGTACTGTACTTTTGATGTGGGTGAACCCTGAAAGCGTACGTGAAAGAAGGAAGCCACTGAGGGCCACATGTCATCTGATCCACTGGTGTGAAGCGCTCAGAACAGCTCAGTTCACGGTGAGCTGTATGGTATGCCAACTGTGCATCAGTCAAATTGTTACCAAAAAAGCTAAGAAAAATTTAATACCCTAAAGATCAACATGAAGGATCAACTACAGATACTTTAAGTTCTTCATAACAAAACAGATTGCATCTATCTGTGCAACTCACCAAAATAGGCATAAATACTCTAAAAACACTAGTAATTTTTCACTCACACATATAGGCAAAAATGTCATCTTTCAAAATAGAATTTGTGAACTGGTTAGATAGCAAAACCACAAAATGAAAAATCTTTCTACTGAAGACTCAAATGAAAATCCTCAGCCCCCTACCATGATAATTACCTATAAAAAAAGATACAGAACTTTGAATCTTAGCTGTATGTGACCCTGGGTACAATACTTTAGGCTTTCAATAAACACTTAACTGTTTTTCTTAGCATATTTTTCTGATGATTAGCAGAGAGTAGAAGAAAGCACCTAACCCTGAGCACTCAATAAAGAAACATATCAGACTTGGTAAGTGAACCTGAAAAGCTGGCTACCTAAGTGAGAGATAAGAAATAATGAATTCCTGCTGATGATCATTTATCTCTGCTTTCAGCACTAGATGAATTAATTTTTCCATAAATACAATTTTTAGAACCATGCATTTAATACCACTGACACTCTCAGATTTTAAATAATTAAAATAATAACCACCTATTTATGTACCACCAAATTGCCTAGAAATTTTTTTTTTAAAAAACCACAAATAAGGTAATACAACAGTGAGGGAGCTTTTAAAAAGTATTAAGGTCAAAGAAACAAAAAAGTATTCAGATCAAATAAGTTTAACACTAAATGTGAAATGAGATACGTACAACCAGAGTTAGCTGTGTAAGTCATAACCTTAATTGTGGAAATATCAACTTTAAGTTAATGTAGAAAAAAATTAAGTAATGATGAAATATATAAAACCAGCCATTAAAATTAGTTGCCTAGATTGTAATAAAATGAAAATAAACCACCATAAGAAAAAAAGAAGAAATGGCAAAAAGTAGAGATCCTATGTTTTATTTTTTTCTAAGTATACATAAGAAATTGGAAATATATACCAAACTGAAATTTTTCCAGTTCTCTCCATTCTCCTTAACTCTGAAAATATCTTAAATCAACTAATTTAAATTTGTTGTCCAAACATTTTTAGATTTTGGGGAAAATCTTTTAAATTGTTCAATGACTCAACAATTTTGAAAGTATCAAAAATATAACTGACACCCAAAAAAAATTTAGTAAGATAAGGACACTGGTATTATTTTTTATGGTGACTTGCATGGTGGTTATTAAGTATATATATTTGTAAAAATTCATCACAGTCAATAATACCTCAATTTTTAAAAATTCATAAATGTGTACACGAAAAAGTCATGTACTACGCTGTATATCACACTTATTACCTAAAAGCTCTACAGATTATGGCCAATTCTATCATAAATCAGGCCCCGAAGTTTTCACAAGACTGTTAAAGGAACATGAAGTACTTATGGCTGAAGTGTATATGGTATCTGGGGTTTGTTTTATGATACTGCAGGTGGGGTTAGTTTAGTCTAACCTTAGTCTAACAGTTTGTTTAATTAAAACTCTTTAAGTGATTAATGGTATAGGATTCTGTCTGGTAACTCTCATTTCCTATGCCATGTAATTTTTAAACTTTTTTACTTTTGAGATAAAATGGTTGCAAAGCCTAGAGACAATCACAGATTATAACAAATTCCAAAGAGATTTCAAATTCTTTTATATAACTAGATTTTAAGCTTTAAATTACACAGAAGCCATTAAAATTATTATTTTTGCCTTTAAAAATAAATAAATAAATTACACAGAAGCCATCTGTTGGAGTTTAGAAATCTTGCTACACATGTCTTTCTTGTAATGGAATTTCATCTGCACGTCTTCTTGTTTATGTCTACCACTTCAACATCATTTCCTCTCCTCACTAGGACTCACCATAGGGTTCAGTGCTGCAGAGTGACAACTACTGCAAATGGGATCTGTGCAAACAGCATGCACAGCCCTTCTCACTGCTGATGCGAGGAGCAGAGTGCTAGGTTACCCTACCCATCTTATTCAGACCAGTAATCGGTCCTCAAAGGTACCAACTCTTACCAGGAAACTGTAATGCAACTATCAGTATTATAAACATTGCTTTCAAAAAATAAGACCCCTTAAGCACAAAGATCTGAAAGTCAATTTAAAAATGAATAAACAAGGGGTATTGGGGAAAATGAGGAGCAACCACTGAGAGGTGCTTCCTTTTGGGGTGAAGATGTCCTAAAATTGACTGTGGTACTGGCTGCACAATTCTGCAAACACACTAAAGCCAAGGCATTCTAACATTAAATGGATGAACTGTGTGGAAGAGGAGTACATCTCATAAAGCTGTTATTTTAAAACATGACTTGTCCAATGTGATAAAATGTTAATAACTAATAACTGTTGGGGATAGGTGATGGGTACCTATGGGTACCCATCTTTACTCTTTAGAGATGTAATTTACTTCTGAAATGAGATTTACACATCTTTAATTCTCTTTACTTCTGAGGTGCTTGAAACTGTTCACATTTTTAAGACTGCTCCATTTTGGCGGGTACAGTACACTTAATAAACGAGAAAGGTCCTCTTACCTGTATGAGTTCGAACATGCTGAACATAATTGTTTTTCCTGTCTGAAAAGTAGTTGCATTTCCCGCACGTGTAAACCTTCCTTGGAAAGTGGTTTCTCAGGTGCTTCCTCCAGTGATACTCGCTCACGGTGGTGTACGTGCATATGATGCACTTGTAGACGCGCTCACTGTCCCCGGCTCGGCTGTGATGCTTCAGGTGAGCAGTGTAGTGATCATAGCGATTGGTGTTGTAGCCACAGCGGTCACAGCGGATGGGGCCCTTGGAGAAATCGCCCTCCTCCCCGGGAGAAGAGCCGGATTCCCGGGCTTTCGCTTGCTTCTCTGCGCTCTCCTCCACAAAGAATTTCTTGGCGCTATGAACTCGGATGTGATGCACAAACTGCTCCTCAGATTCCGCTTCGTACTGGCACGGTTTACAGCGGAAGGGTTTGGTCTTCACGTTCCTGCACTTCTCCTCTGCCGCGGGGGTCTCCTGAGGAAGGTCTTTGCTGGAGCTGTGCGTTTCTGAGGCAGCTGACGCCTCGAACACAGGCCGTGGCTGGACCACGCTGAGTTCCAAACTTTCCAGTTCCATCTTCTCCAGCCCCCTGGGTTCGCCTTTCGCCTCAGGAGACTCCTCGAGTCCTTCTCCGTCACTATCTGAGAAGTTGCTGTCCCCAACAGGCATCAACTCTGCCATCTGTCTTTCTTCGCCAACCACATAATCACAGCAGCCGCCATTTACTTCCCCAGTTAAGGCCACGTTTGCCAACATGATGAGCTGAGGCGCAGCCAGTTCAGCTCGAGAGAGGTCGGGCAAGTCGTACATGTCATTTGGCAAGGCCATGCCCATGGGGCCACTGCCGGTGAACAGCCCTCCTCCTCCGGAAGACTGCCCCATCACCTGCGTGGCCATGTCTGTGCTCTGCATTCAAACAAAACAAAACACACAAGAGCACCAGTTTAAGCACAACGTTTACCAGTCTAAAACAAAACGTCACTGTAGTTCTTTGTAACTTAACACATTTTCCCACATAATCTTTAAACTCAATCAGCTTCATTAACTACTCAAAGTAAGCCTTTAAAATCATTTTGTAAGTCCAAACTCTCTTTACTGCAGTCATCAAAAAATTTTCTGTAACCCCTATAAGAAATTCGATCAAGTGTTTGACACAAGTCATCTATCAACTAAGTCTACCAACAGCGTGCCTTCCCTCAAGCACTTTTACCTTTTCTGTTGGAAAAATGTAAGTAACCTTCATTTTTCGTGCTATTTTTTTTAGTGCTAATTAACATTAAATTGACCTTTGTACAAACAGGTTAGAGGCACCAACCCCCAGTGCAGTTAAAAATCGCATCTTTTTGGCTCCACAAAAACTAAGAGTACCAATAGTCTACTGTTGACCAGAAGCCTTAAGGGTAAGTCAGTAAACATATATTTGGCATGTTACATGCATTTATATAATAGATACATGAAAAAGTTGTTAAGAAAATCATAAGGATTACATTTCCAGTACTGTGTTTATAAATACAGTAAGTTTACATCCCCTGTGTACCAGATGAATTACACCTGTCATACATTTACCAATACTGTATGATACAAAATACTGCAGATATTATACACATTACTAACACTAGTCAACAAAAGGGAAAAGATATTGTGAAAAATAAATTCATACTCATTTACAGTTATAACAAAGCACGCAATCGATAGGACAGCTTCCCAGTAACCAAGCCTATATGCAAATAAATGAGTCATAAAATTTTTATGACATATAGTGTAAGTCATTTTCATAATATAGTATTAGAAATAGTTTTTTTTTAAACTGCATATATGTATGATGGGCTGATATACTGTTTCTCAAACAGCATATGGTAATGTAATTTTTTTTTTTTCCAATTTATTTTTCTACAAAGACCACAAGACCTTCTAGTACTAACACCCAAAAAAGATGTCCTTTTCATTACAGGGGACTGGAATACAAAAGTTAGAAGTCAAGAGATACCTGGAGTAACAGGCAAATTTGGCCTTGGAGTACAGAACGAAGCAGGGCAAAGGCTAACAGAGTTTTGCCAAGAGAACGCACTGGTTATAGCAAACACCCTCTTCCAACAACAAAAGAGTAGACTCTACACATGGACATCACCACATGGCCAACACCAAAATCAGACTGATTATACTCTTTGCAGCCAAAGATGGAGAAGCTCTATACAGTCGGCAAAAACAAGACCGGGAGCTGACTGTGGCTTAGATCATGAACTCCTTATTGCCAAATTCAGACTTAAATCGAAGAAAGTACGGAAAACCATTAGATCATTCAGGTATGACCTAAATCAAATCCCTTATGATTATACAGTGGAAGTGACAAATAGATTCAAAAGATTAGAGCTGAAACACAGAGTGCCTGAAGAACTATGGACAGAGGTTCCTAACATTGTACCAGAAGCAATGATCAAGACCATCCCCAAGAAAAGGAAATGCAAAAAGGCCTCTGAGGAGGCCTTACAAATAGTTGATGAAAGAAAAGATGCCAAAGATAAGGAGAAAAAGAAACATATCCACTTGAATGCAATGTTCCAAAGAATAGCAAGGAGAGAGAAAAAAGCCTTCTTCGGTTATCAATGCAAAGAAATAGAGGAAAACAATAGAATAGGAGGCTCTAGAGAGCTCTTCAAGTAAATTAGATACCAAGGGAATATTTCAAGCAAAGATAGGCACAATAAAGGACAGAAATGGTGTGGACCTAACAGAAGCAGAAGATATTAAGAAGAGCTGGCAAGAATACACAGAAGAACTGTACAAAAAAGATCTTCATGACCCAGATAATAACGATGGTGTGAT